GCTGTTGCAAAATCATCCTGTTTCACAGCATTGGGGTGGCAGCAGAATTAGGGGAAGACAACCATCCCCTAGGAAAGAAAGTCCCAGGATATCACAGTCCATGATTCTAAGGAGCTTATCAAGATAAGAACTCAGCTGGAAGTGGAGGTACATGACTATAATTCCAACACTCAGGAAATTGATGTAGGAGGATAAACATGAGTTTGAGGCCAGCCTAGGCTACATAGTGAGAACCTGTCTCAAAATCAAAACAAAACAAAACAAACAAACAAACAGTAACAAAACAGGCATGCTGGTACATTTTATAATCCCAGCCCTCTGGTAGGCTGAGGCAGGAGGATTGCATGTTTGAGTCTAGCCTGAGAAACTTAGTAATTTAGCAAGACTCTGTCTTTAAAGAAAATTAAAAAGGGCTGGGGATGTAGCTTAGTGCGAAAGGTATAGGCTCAATTTCTAGTACAGGTTTAAAAAAAAAAAAGGTAAAAAATCGTAACTGAATGGAAGACATCTGCTTTGGTTTGGATCTTAAATGGACTCCAAAGGCTCACATGGTGAATATATGTTCCCAGGATGGTACTGGGAGGTGGGGGAAATTTTTGGAAGTGGGACCTAGTGGAAGGAAGTGAGGTCATGGGGGGGGGGCCGTTGAAGGGAGATATTGGGACTCCAATGCTTTCTCTCTCCTCTCCCCGCCCGCCATGCCACCAAGAGCAGTTTTGCTCCAGCCCATGTTCCTCATCATAATGTGCTGCTTCACCTTCACCACAGGGCCAAAGTGACTGGGCCAGGCAAACATGCACTAAAGCCTCTGAAACTATGAGCCAAAGAAAATATTGTCTTCTTTTCAGTTTTTTATCTCAAATATTTTGTCACAGTAACACTAAGCTAACACAGCATCAAAGTCTGGTTGGCAGCAGAAAAAGACAGCTGCAATAAAGCTTTTACATCATCTACCGAAGAACAAGGTCTTCCAATAAAGAGCTGAGCTTTCATTGCAGTATCATAGATGAGGAAAATACCCTTGCTTCTTGACACATTCCAGATATATCCAAAATGCTGTGCACCTCACAATCTATTATACACACAACAGCTGAGGGATCTTTTGAGAATATAACCCTGATTCCTTCATTTCTCCGCTTAAAACCTTTCTAGAGTTTTCCTTTCCTCTCAGGATAAAATGCAAACCCTAGGAGCTCTCATATCCTGCACCTGCTCCTCCACATGGGCTCATCGCTGTTCTTCACACTCATGAAGCCCTGATAACTCTGGCATCCTATTTTCAAACATGCTTAAGTTATTCCCATTCTAGGGCTTCTGAACTAGCTAGTTTCCTTCAAATGTCATCACCGCTTTACCCTTGAAGAAAGGCAAGGTTTAAACACAAAGCAACTCCATAATGAGGTATAACCTTTGATGCTGTGGGTTTTGACAAAGATTTATTTATCCCTCTGTTCTTGTCCAATTGGAGCCTAGAATTGTCTGACACGTTCAAGTTATAAAGAGGGGGCTGGAGTCCAAAAACAGAATGTGACTTAGTCAAAGCCATTCAGATTTTGGAGGGGGACAATTGTCCAATGATAAATCCAGAGGTTGTGAATTAGACTAAAAGGGAAGGAAATAGACTACGTGTATGTGCTGGGTTTAAAATATTTACAGTTCCAAGAATAAAACTCCTCTTTTCCCCTTTTTTTATTTTTTATTTCTTTTTGGCTTTTGACTTTGCTGAGTTCAAGGTTGTGCATAGGAGGATATAGACAATTTTGGATTTCTCTTCCATTTGTAATTTATAGATTTCTCTCTCGAAATTACAACTACAACCTAATTTTAAAAATCAAATTGGTTTCATCTAATTAAATTTGGAAATTGCCTCATAAACACACATTTTGTTATAAATGCCTTTAAAAATACAGTCTCCTGCTTATAGTCTGGGACAAGATTGGTTTGAGCTCAGCTCAGTGGCAACTTATCATTTCTCTGCTCAGGAGAATGCACTCAATTCTATCAATTGCTAAAACTTTCTACAAGAGTCCCCTTTAACATTTACTGCCCACACAAATCACCCAGGGATTTTGTTACACTGCAAGTTCTGATTTGAGGAGCCTAGGTGGGATGCTGCATTTCTAACCACCCTTGTGTGATGCAGACTTGTAACTGGGGCTGCAGCACCTGAATTCAGGAGACACACACTTCCACCTTGTTTGTGTGATCATGATTTCTTCACTTCACACCTCTGCCCCAACTTCTGTAATTTTTATGTAATTATAACAGCTAACATTTATAATGTTATTTCTAAATGCCAAACACTGAGCTAAACACGTATTTAATATGATCCTCACAACAGCCTTACAAGTTTAGTGTTATTATTGTCCTGCTCTTCCAGATGTAAAATGAAGGTTTTGAGAGGTTGCTTGCAGTACCAAAAGTCACATATCAGGTAATTTTCAGAGCTGGAATTCAGACCTAGTCTGCTTGATCTCAAAAAATCAACATTTTTAGTTTCTTGGGCCTCACTATCTTGTGATACACATAATCACAGTCATGTTTTTGCACAAAATATAATAGCTAAGCCCACAAACTCATTGTTTCCTTCAGACCATCCCCAAGAGTTTTGGTGCACTCCCAAAAGACTGCCTCAAATTCTCACAAAAATAAGCCAGCTGCAATTTTCTGGCTCTTGTTCTCTGTAATCACAGTCCAAGGAGCAGCCAAGAAGCTACTTAAAGATCTTAAAGATCTTACCATAGCTGTCTCCAGTAGAGTTCATCAAGAAAATGGAAATATCCCTGGAAATAGATTTCAAAAATGCACAAAGCACTAGATTTGTGCCCCTCTAATCGGTTTCCACCTTTGTGCCCAGAGTTCCAGAGAGGGTAGGTACCACGTACTGAAGCCTCCAGTTCAAGATTTATTACTCAGAATGTCTAACTCACAGTTGGGTTTGCACCTTTTTCTTTCCATCTATTTCTTTCTTCTTATTGTGGAACTGAAATCATGTCCAGTTCAATGCATGAGATAAGTATATTACTCTCAAGGAAGAAGTCTTTGCAGACAGATGACCCTATGTACTACACTGCCCAGGTCAGTGCTTTCTAAGTGAAGGTACCGAAAGGACCAGGGTCTTTCATGAATAAAGTGTCATTTGGGCTGAGGATTTAGCTCGGTAGTTCCACTGCCTGCTTTGCAAGTGCAAGGTCCTGAGTTTGATCCCTGCTACCAAAAAAAAAAAAGTGTCATTATTCTAAGGCAAAATGAAAACAAAGGCAATTTCCATTATTATTCATGAAGCTAAATTTATTTTATTTTAAAGACTACCTTTTATTCTGAAAGTATATCCTTTCTATATATTTTGGAAATATATCTTTTATGAAATGTTAATTAAAATAGGAAAGTCCCCTAAATCTTTGAAATGTTGTTGACTGGTAGATTCGAAAATCCTTGTACCTGTGGCTCTGAGATTCTTCCGTAACACTGCCATCACTCCTGAAATGATGGGTCCTTTCCTTCTCCTAGACAATGAAGAAGTTGCTATATACAACAGATCTCTGTTACACTTATGGGTGTGTGCATGTGTGTAATTGTGGCCTGTACTTTACAAAGAATATCATGTGGTTTTAGAATGAGCAGATTTTGATTCAGTTAAATCTCCAGGCCCACTCTTCCCTGCAAGGCCACATTCTAGGTGTATCTCCTCTTCTCGTACAACAAACTAGGAAGAAAGCTTTGTTCCCTGGGCCAGAAGGGCTCACAAATGATTGGAATGGATATTTCTTCTCTTCTTTACCAAGCTCTCTGCAGTGGAAAATGAAGATATTAGATAGCTCTTCTGAGAAATGTTAGATTCATTGAGACATACTGGATGATCTCCTCCTTCAGAGGTTTCCAAGGACCAGGCCCGCCTCTAGAGAGCTTATGGGATCACCAGACTGATCTGGAATCTTTATCTCTCATCACATTCTCCTTGATATTCCTCCTCAAGTCTACTCTCTACTTAGGGATGTTTCTGTTGAGCCTTGTGGGCCTGTAGCCCATGTTTCATCCTGGAAAAGCTTGTTTCCTTTCCTTCCTCAGACTTGCTAGAGTGACCCTCATGCCATAACTCTCCTCTTCATTTTACAGTTGAGGAAACAGGCTGGGAGAAAGGAGGATTGTGCCAAAGGTAACTTGAGACCACAGTAGAGCTACTAGAATGCTAAGCTACAGCTTTCCCGAATCAGTATCCATACCCTTCCATCTGCATTTCTGCTTTATCTAGTACTGCAATCTCATGGTGTCTCAGAATACAAGAGTGTGAACAAAGTCAATCTTCTCTGCATCTCAGTACTTAAATACTTGCTATTCTTTGATTTTGGAGATTTTTCTTTCTGTTTTGCAATGAATTTCTGTGTAGCTTTAGTTTTGTAAGTTTTTAGGGAGCATATTGTATTGGCTTAATGAATATATTTTTGCCTGAGTAGGTTCTCTTTCATCTCTGGTAAAAAGCTGATGCTTGGTGGGAGCTTTGGACACTATCACTTAGCTAACAATACAATATCCCTAAGGCACACAGAACTTCAGAGCTCAAGAATCCTGTAACTATGAGGTAGAAAATATTGTTGGGATTCTTCTCAAAGCCCAAGAACTGATACAGGTAGAATGAACACCATCTGAGTATTGAGGTTCCATGTGACTGTTATGGTTTTTCAGATGAACTTCAATTATTGCTTACCAGGTCTAGATATCTCTTCTTCTACACAGAACAATTTTATTCCTTTGAAGAAAGGATCAGTTGTCACATAATCACCTCAATGCATGGTGTGTTCAGATTTCTTTATCTTCGAGACTATCAGGATAGATCAAATGTGTGCCCTGGCATGTTCTTCCCATCATACTGTCAGAAAACATTTGACAAGTTGTATCTCACTCACCTTTAAACCCTCAGTGAAATAGTTATGCATCTATTCGAGGCCCAAGAGAACTGAATGAAGCTGAGCCAACCAAAGCAGCACAAGGGGCCTCCTTACCTCGTAGAGTGTGATGACACCATTGGTTTCATTGGGAGGTTTCCACTGGATGTAGATCTTCTCTTCAAAAGGTCCCCCTTGGATGGATTCAAGAGGAACAGCTCCCGGAACTACAGAAAGAAAAAGTATGAACTTGATGTTATCTTCCATGTCACTTCTCTAGCCCCATTAATCCAGAAGAGAGGTTTGCAAAATTCCTCTAAAGAACCAGGTATAAACATTTTAGGATTGATGGGTCATGCCGTCTCTGTTGCAACTATTCAACACTGCCTTTTTAGCATAAAATTGACTATAAAAATATATGAGTGGGTGTTTCCATCTTCAAATAAAACATTTCTAAATACAGGCAATGGGGAAGATTTGACTATGGACCATACTGGTTGGCCCCTCTTTGGAAGGCTGACAGATTTTCATCTGCAGACTGAGCAGGCCCATTTATAAACTGAACCAGATCAGGGTATACAGGACATTAGGAGGCCACCAAATGGGAATGTGAAATTAAGATTTAGGATTGGTATTTGAGAAATACAGATTGGGCTTCACTATTATTTTGCCAATTCTTATTTTCCTAACAATGTCAAGTTTTCTCCAACTTCAGTTTCCTCATTTCTGAATCCTATAGGAGACTTGTGCCTTGAAATTTCAATGTATTTAGAAGCCTGCCTTGCTCCAGGGAGGCAGCTAGCTTGTCTTGCTTCTTAGTCTCCAATATCTGGTATGGTATTGGATGAGTGACTTAAGCCAGCATTTTCCTCTAGGAGCACAGCTATTCCTGGTGCTGCTTTTCTAACAGACTTCCTATCACCCCCTCCTGCTGGGTTCCAGCACCCTTACAACAGACAGGAAGGTGCTGAGCCAGAAGCTAAATGATTCCCCAAACTTTCTGTTGTAACCCTCTAGAGAATCTTGAATTCATGTAAATCATTACTGGATCTATTTATATTTCAGCATTATAAAAGCAGGTACTTTTACTAAGCACTTACGCTTTGATCAGAATTTTACATACATTATTTCACTTAAGCCACAAAAGAGTTCTGCCCAGTATGCATTATCTCCTTTGTGCTGATAAGGGAAGTGAGACTGAGAGAATTAAATAACTTGCTCAAGGTCATATGGGTCTTAAATTGTAAAGAGGGAACTGAACACCTGTCTAAGAGCTTCAAAGCATATACTCTTAATCATTATGCTATGCTTCTCTACGTGCAGCCTTGGCCATATGTTGCAATCAGTTCCCCATTGTTAAATTACAATATATTTAGTTTTTCTCATTATAGGTACAATACACACAGTTTGGTGAATATTAAGAATGCTAAAAAGAGAAAGAACAAAATCACTCATAATACCTATAACCAAAGGTATTTTTGTAGTATTTTTATGCATACATATTTTTTTTATTTTTTAAAATATATAAAGTATGTCTGTGCATATATATTTTTAATTCTTTAAAAATTTAACCCCTAGTGCATATATTATGCTGTGACCTTCTTTCATCACTGAACAAGTCATAGCCTTAAAAAAAAGTGTAAGTGTTCTTTGGGACTGCATATTATAATGGCTGCTAGCAAAGATTGCCCCATTATACTCAGTATCAATCCTTTATTAGTGGGCAGTAAAGTTGGTTTGAATTCTTCTTGATTATCAGTAACAGTGGAATGAGAGTTCTTATAAATATTTTCATGCAAATTTTCTGACTACTTGAAGATAAATTCGTGGAAATTAATTTACTAGGCCAAACGAGACAAACTATTTTATTTTAAGGGTTTTTGACATGTATTACCAGATTGCCTTCTAGAAAGTTGGTACAAATCTGGACTCTCCAACAAAAGAATATGTCTAGTTCTGATCTCTGCCAACACTATTTAAAAAATTAAGTGCATGTGTGTATCGTTTTTAGCCTACTGGAGAGCAGAGTTTTTTTTTTTTCAGTTTAATTAGCCATTTGCATTGATTCTTTTAGGAACATGTTCTCTATACCCTGTGTACATTTTCCCGTAAGGCTCTTTAGTTTTGCTCATCTTTGTCTTACGGGCTTGTAATTTTAATCTCTTTCTAAGGACTTAAGTTTTCTTTTTGAAGAGTTTACAAATAGTTTCTTCAGGTTTTGTTTAAAAATCATTTAGGTATATAATGGTTTTAATTAGTCAAAATTCTTATTTTAGATTTTCCTTGACTTACTGTTCCTCTGTGCAAATATTTCTTGAGTATTTTATATGTTCGAGGGATTATGGTAGATATTACAGATGCACCAATAACAAAGAGAGATGTAGTCAAACTTTTGACAAAGTTTGTGCTCTGGGGAAGGAAGATTGAGTAATTACATCTACGATTAATTTATTAAGGTTGCTATCATAAATCTGAGATGAAGGCATATAGTAGCAGTAGAATAAAAAGCAGAGAAAATCCAGCCTGGCAAGTCAGGATATTGAAAGGCAAATAAGTTAGAGTTGATGGATAAGCAGCTGTTACAGGGCAAAAGCAGGGAGTGTTGGGGGTGTGAGTAGTAGCTTTTTGAGGTCAAAGATAGAGGAAAGTCAGTTAGGAGGACGCTAGAATCATTCATGGCAGAAAGGATGGTAGCTTGGACTAGGGAGAGGGAAAGTAGAAGAGAAACTGGCTGTGTAAGAGATTTTAGTCACACTAAACTACTTGTCTTGACGGTGTTGAGTAACGACAAAAGAGGGAAGGTATGGATCACGGCTGGCCCCACACATTTTGCTTCATACAACTGGAGGATCAGATTATTGTTCATAAAGGGTTAATCGTATTTGGAGAGGAAGCTAGTGAGCTTAATGTTTGTCATATTGCATTTGAGATATATGTAGAACATGCCTGTGGGGTGGGTGGAAAATAGTTGAATATAAAGCAGGGACCAAGGTTTGGAAATTGAAACCATGGTAAGAGGATAGATAGGACAAGAAAAATGAAGAGCAGAGAGGGAAAGGCAGGTCTCAGCTAAGAGGAAGTCTAGTCTTAACAATTAGGAGGAAAACAAATGGAGAAACTAGGAGTCAAAATGCAGAGAGGCAACAGGAAAAGGAGGAAGTTGAGCTTTCCTGTACATGGAAGGGAGGAAAGAAGTTCATTGAAGGACTGGTCCAAGTGAAAGATACGGCTTAGTAGTCAAGTAAGAGGTAGCTTATGTTTGTCCAATGAACCCAGTATCCTCAAGGCTACTTGTGACTCAGCCAAGAGCAATTTTGGAAATTACTCTGGTGTCACAAGCCATCCTGAAAAAGATTGAAGCGGAAAAGGAAGGTAATGTGAGACAAGTCAACAACTTGGGCTGTGAGGAGAAAGAGAATGCAAAACTAGCAGGCATGACACATGGAGCCACAGCACTGCTCCCTCCAGATGACGGGGGAGGTCAGGGCATGATTACAACAACCAGGAAAAACCCAAACCAGGAGCAAGAAGTGGAAGGGTGGGAAACAGAGAGGTGCTAACTGATATTGGTAGGGTCCTAACAAGGCAAGAATAGAAGTGGGTGGAAACAAGGTCCCTTTCCCTCCATGAGAGGTGAGAGAAAATGCAAATGTGCAGATGCTTTGGAAGCAGGAGTTGAAGTTTTCTAAATGGCTCTATTTTTTTGAGAAGTCAGGATGAAGCCATCTACAGTGTGGTGTGAGTTGGTGGGACAAGTTACATCAATAACTTGGGAAAAGTTAAGAAGCTTTAATCATTTAGAAGTGGAAAGTGATTTGAACAGAGAGATGCACATTGTATTCATTCATCTTGGGGTCCATCTGATGGAGGTGGGGAGGGTCTGTCTGAACGGAGTGAAGGAGAATCTATCTGAGGGAGGTTCTGATGGTGAATCTCAAAACTATTAGCATGCTGCTACCTTATCTTTCCAGTTTAGAGCAAGTTCTCTTTCTCTTACCAGATCAGATGAATAGACAATATAGATGGACAATCATTTTATGATTTATTTTGTAACTTATTCCTGTGGGGTTTTTTTACACCTAACCCTAAGATCCATTGGAAATTTATTTCACATACTATACACAGTAGAAACCTAAATATAATCCTTTAGAATTTTCTTAGGACAATTAATTGACCAGTCAGAATATTCCCCAGTGATTTAAAATGCCATCTTACCACCATGTCAAGTTATTTTATTCCTGGCATGTTGTGTGGCTCTCACCAAGTTATAGCTTCCCTGTGACAATATCTCTCTATTGTGGAGAGATGACATGTTCTAATACTTAGTAGAACAAGGCCTTCTCTTTCATTATTCTTCTTTTGAAAGTCTTCTGGTATGTAACAACTCATTTAGTTTTCCAGAACTTCAGAATAATTTAATGAAATTTCAAAATTATTCTATCAGAATTTTTATTGAAGTTGCATTTTTCTTTTCTTTTGGGGGCAAAGAACATCTCTCTATAACCAAGAATGGTTCTACTCAGTAATATTGTATTAATCTTCATTTATTAATGCAGTGTTTCCCCTTGGTTAAAAATATGGAGTGTTTCTGTTGTTTCTTGCAAATTGCATTTCTAGGATTTTATTACTTTGCTTCTATTGTTTTTGCATTATATTAAAAAGTTTCCTTTGTAATGTTTTGCATGATATTAAAAAGTATATGTCATTTTGTAGAGTTTTAAAGAATAATTATGAAGTGAACATGCATATGCCCACTATCTGCTCTAAGAAATAACACCCTTGTGATATTGAAGCATCATTATTGACTCCTTTTTCCTCTATTATTGTGGTTTATATCTAAATGTTCCCCCAAAGCTTCATGTGCTTATAGGTGGGGCTTTTGGGAGGTGATTGGATCATAGGAGTGTGATGCACATCAGTGGATTAGTCCACCGATGAGTTTTATTTTAATGTGATTTGGGAGTTGAATCCTGGTCAGATCAGGTGGGGCATGGCTTATAAGGGTCTATCTCCTTCCCTCCTTCTTTGATCTCTTTCTGTGCTTCCTGTCTGCCATCCCATGAGCAACCTTCCTCTGTCAGTGCCCCCTGCCACACTGCCTGCCTTGGACCCAGCCGACTACAGACTGAAACCTCTACAAACACTGAGCCAAAATAAACCTTTCCTCCTTTAAGTTGTGAGTGTTGGGGATTGTGGCTCACAAACTGACAAGCACTCATTGACAAAA